AATGTACATGGGAGTTTGGTCTAGTGGTATGATTCTCGCTTTGGGTGCGAGAGGCCGCGGGTTCGATTCCCGCAACTCCCCCTTCTGCCTTTTATGTATCAAAGCATGCCAATATGAAGTCATTGGGTTGTTCCTAGTCCGTTGCACACGGCGAGATTGTAGTAGCGGAGCTTAGAAGGGCTGGGAATGCCAACACGGTAATTTGAGTTGTCTCCAGGCAAGTAGAGTTGTCTTAAGTCCCCACGATGATTAATTTTACCGTGTTATTAAGCTTTTCTATGAGTAGTCGATTGGGAATAAGTTTGAAACCAAATCTCTAAAAATTAGATTACATGCCGCCTTCTTTTCGAGTCTGTCAGACAGGGTCATCCGTTATTTCGAGTAGCGTAAGCATGATGTCGTATGATTTACTAACCTGTTACATGCCCAAACCTGGTGATAATGGACTGGCACATATGCAGGGAGCAGTTCGACGAGATGAGCGGGATCATGTTGCCGGATGAGGGCGATGGGGAGGTGACTGAGGCGCTGGCGCAGCAAGAAAGAGCGCATGAGTCACGGTGGCGTGGACACATGCATGGGCATGGGCGTGGGCAGGAGGTATCGAGTTGACGATAGCGGCTGGCAAGCAGCGGCGTCTGGTGTGAGCACGCTTTGGCACGATGTAATGTTGATCTTCGCTTGTGAAATTTGTTTTTTGTGATCAGAAAGGAAGTTTCTGCCAAGCTGCGACGTGCGAGAGGTGAGGTGTCGTTCTCGTACTCTGCCATATGTACAAATTCTGAAATGGGTTGGATGTACTCTCCTGTCATGAAGGATTAATTCCTTACACTTCTTTACCTGCAGTATTCGAGTACAACATTTTATGTATGTTACGATGTTTTGATCTTATAGTCTATGTTCTATGCTTGCTGCTTCACGTTTTCTGGGATGCGTTGGGAATAACACCGCGCTTCGGCCCCGGACCCAGCAGGAACGACATTCCTGCCGGATAGCGCAACAAGTAATTGCGTCTTAGTCCGAGCATGCTCCGCCATTTTTCATCCAACATTTAGGCCTAAAAGGTGGGCAAGGACCAACTGACGCACGCATTTGGTCAATCATTTTACTAATAGCAACACACATTCTTATCCAGTAGTGGGGACGACATAACGTTTTTATCTTTGCAGTTTTTTTATAAGTATCTGTGCAAGCTAAATTTTCTAAAGTTTGGAGAGCAGCTTTTTGTTCATGTTCTTGTGCAAATATCAGCATGTGAGATGCTGCATCTCAAAACTGCTATATTCCATTCTAAACCCTGTGTTACACATCGATAATGTGATATTTTTAGCTGGATAGTGGTATGGTTAAATTCTTTACCTAGGCCAAACTTATAATCATATGGTGGACATTCTTTGGTGGACAGTATAAATTAACCAGCACAACTTGTCATGTTAATACTAACTTTTTTGTACAAGAGGAGGGTATGGAGGGAGAAAACAGGACGAAGAGGAAGGGAAGAGAGAAGGGATAAGGAAAAGCACGTGAATGTTTGTCTTTACAGACTACAAACTTCAGGACCTTCACAACATTTCCCAAACACAGCCCAGGCATTCCAGGAGAACAAGTCGGCGTTTTCGGCATGTATTGGTAGTGTGTGGTTTTAAAATGGCTATTGACACATTATAACAGAAGGGTAAACGCAGTGTTCGGGCCGAAAGGGAAACCCTGCGAAACGGAAACTGTGCGAAACCTGTTTCCCGTGTTTTCGGTAAAGCGGTCCAGGAACACCGGAAAGGCCGAAACTAGTTCCCGGCCTTTTCCGCAAGCGCCGTACGTGGAATTTATTTTCAAAGCGTACGCATGTCTTTAAGCCTGCGAAACTATGCAATAGTTTGATTTCATGCTTAGAATGTCAGGAATAATTTCAGTTCTTAGCGGAGACCCAGGCACCTCACTTGATGGCTCTGACCGAGTCAAAAAGCCCCTTCTGTGTTAATAATTTTATACTTCCTTTTTATTTTTCGTCTGCCATATTTTTTTCTCTTAAAATCATACATCGGTTTACATCATTTTAAATTTACGTGGGCGGGGAGCTATGAGCCAGTGGGCGGGCCTGTCAAGGGGTATTACGGTAAGCTATCTCGTCACCATGTCTCTTACCAATCCTATTCTGTCTTGAATGGGCACGATTCTCTGCATCGGCACCAGCACGGAGCTGTTTCCCGTGCCTCTTGGTATCTAGGCGGCATTGACGCCTGTTTGGATTCCAGCTGCGCGAATAAATAGAGCTGTCCGAACGAGAGTGTTGTTTATTGTTTCTCCTTACGTGATGCTCTTTGCACCTCGTCATACAGTAGAGGCCTAAATGGCGCCACCTTGCCACGTGCTGAAGTCTGGCCGCAAGGAGAGCGTGTTTGAAGCCATGTATAACGACACACAACAGCGGGCGAGCTCGGTGTGAAACGGCTCTTTTATATTTTCAAATGCATGGGGTCCCCATGGAATGACAACGATCGCTGGCGTTCACTGTGGAAGTGTAGGATGTCACCCCGGGCATGCCTGTGCTGCCAAGGGGATGTCACCCCGGGCATGCCTGTGCTGCCAAAGGGCCCATCGCCTGTCGCTGTAATAGACACAGGCCTAGAAAGGAAGGACAAAGGATCTGTACCGGCACGCACAACACCTCAGCAAGCTCGGCTACGACTAAGACCGGACTAGCACTGATGCCACGAGGGGAATTTTGCCAATATGGCTCCCCTATCGATGACAAAACTCATGCCTACAAATACCCCGGCGACTAGAGTTACCACGATTTGAAGAAGTGCGACCAAATACACACGAGGCCGCCTTCCTACCAAGCTGTGTCAGAAAAATCACCCAGGGGTGGAATTACCGAACCCTGTGAGCGGATCCACGTAATTAAAATTCTGTTCTGCTTAGGTGTGCCTATGGGGCATAAGGGAGTTTGGTCTAGTGGTATGATTCTCGCTTCGGGTGCGAGAGGTCGTGGGTTCGATTCCCGCAACTCCCCATGTGAACTTTTTTCATTTTATATTTCCTGCCAACAAGAGATGGCATTTTTCTCCATCCGCTGTAGAACGGGAGTGGCGTTGGGGCGCTCCCGCATGTTGTTAGGATATCACAATGCTTCCCCTGGACGGGTGGGTCAGCTTGGTGGCGGGAGTACTGAGGATGTACTTTTGCCGTCAGTGTATGCGATTCTTGCAGCATCCCCGGCTTTACAGCATGCCTTTTGGGGAGCTTCTGCTTGTGGACGGCAGACACCATACCGGCCGAGGGCCCCCTTTGTGTTTAGCGCGGTGCACTTGTTAAAAACCTGGTCTAGTGGTATGAATCTCGCTTTGGGTGCGAGAGGCCGCGGGGTCGAATTCCGCAATTCCGTCCGAATTCCGCATTTCCGCAAGTCCGAATTCCTCCCCTTTTCATTCATGTAAGCATGCTTGTACGACGTCATTGGCGCGATCCTACTTCGATACGCACGGTGAGATCTTTGTAGCGGAACTTAGGAGGGCTGGGAATGCCAACTCGGTAATTTGAGTCGTCTCCAGGCAACTAACAGGCAGGCGGCTGGCAGAGGTTAAGGCCTGACTTCTGCTCCCTGCCGACCCGGGTTCAAATCCGCCTGCCGACCTATCGGATGTTAGAGAGGTGGTGAAATGGGAGGTGGCCCCCCATCTTGTGGACGGTGTAGGACGTGATAAAATCAACTTGCGAGCTGACCAGGAACTAAGTTGACGCGCCGTTGATCCGCTAGATTTGGTTGGATGCTGGTGGTGAGTTGCCAAACTCAAAGAGTACACTCTGAAGTCGGATGGGGTGAATGGATTAGGGTGCCCCTCTAGCAGGGGAGAGCAGGGAATTGCCTCGGGAAGGAGGCCACTGGTGAAGCTTAACCAGCCTGTAACAACATCAACGAAAATTGTCCTAGGTCCCCACGATGATTATATAATTTTACCGTGTTCTTAAGCTTTTCTATGAGTAGTCGATTGGGAAAATTTTGAGATCAAACCTCTAAAAATATCTGTCAAGATTTTGTCCGCCCAAATGCTCCTTTTCGAGTCTGTCAGACAGGGTCAGCCGTTATTTCGGGTAGTGTAAGCATGATGTCATATGATTTACTAACCTGTTACATGCTCAAACCTGGTGATGAGAATGGCAAATGCGGGGAGATGAGCGGAATCATTTTGCCGGATGAGGGCGAAAGGGAAAAACGGAGATGTACATATATCTATACATGTCTCATGATATACTACTGCCGGCAATACTACTGCCATAAATGCCCTTTTGTTTATACCTCTAAGTTCAAGTAGGCGAATATCGCGTTTTTATCAACAACTTGAAACGCACGCACGTTGAACACTGCCCTTTATGTCCAGTTCCGTACGTGGCGCATATTCCGACGCTTTGAGAGCCGCGCATAACCATTGGCTTACACGTCGCTTGACTACGATGTTATTACATACATACATCGGCACAGTTATTCGCGCACCCACTTCGGCTTGTTCTCGTATCACGGTTCGGATTATTTAAAAAACCCATCGGGCACCGGCCTCTGAACTATGTACAGGCCAGTACATCCCTACTACCTTGCTGCCATCTCAAGCCGCTAGGGGAAGCTTGCTGGTCATATGGAGCAGCGACACCGCCGCGCGTCGGATGACGTGGCTGTTCAGTTACGAGCGGAAGCGGTTCAGGGTCGCCCTCGACGGGGCAGTCAGTTTCACACATAGCCCAACCTGCCTGCCGCGGCAGTAGCATATCCGCCAACAACTACCTTCCTTCCAGGTAAGCCATACAAACTCCCGCCACATGTACCATATAACCCACCATCAATTCACGACACATCACGAAAGGCCAGCCCAGCTGCAGCATCGTGCGCATAACAGCCCGAGCCCCTGCTTAACACAACCCAGCACCTTGAACACAACCCAACATAAAACAACATCATTCCGCGACTGCAAACCGCGGACCTCCTGTCTCTGTCTTGGCTTCGTAGTTCATGACGGTGACGGTCTCGCCGCGCCTTGTGGGGTACCAGGCGGAGGAGAACGAGGCGGCGGCGGCGGAGGAGGAGGAGGAGAAGGAGCCGCACTCTCCACCCGGAACCCTAGGTCCGCCAGACGGCCCCGGAGCTCCCCCATCAGGGCTACCATGTCGGGCAGGTGCAGGGCTGCGGCGTCAGGCGGCAGAGCGATGGGAACCGCCGGTCTCCCCGCTCCACGAGGCCCTGGCGCTGCGGGAATGGCTGACAATGAGGCAGTGGCGGCAGTGTCAGGGGCGTTCTTTACAGCGCCATCAGTGCCGGCTCTACCTGGACTAGGAGGAGCATCGGGAGTAGCGGAAATACCAAGAGTGGCAGCATCCCTGGAGCAACCAAAAGCTTCGCCTGCCTCATATTCAGCTTTCAACCTCCCGCCTGTGCTCACTTCTGCTGTTGCTGCTTCCCGCCCAGCTGCTGCTGCTGCTGCTGCTATTGTCCCTCTTTGCCCCGAAAGAGGTGCTACTGCTGCTGAGCTTGATGATGACAATGACATCCCCGCCACGGCAGCGCGCACGCCATTGAGCTGCTCAACTTCAAGATCTGTTGATGCTCCTCGAATTCCCCTGCTATTGCTGCTGTTGCTGGGAGCGACCCCTGGGTCATCTTTAGCGGACGCGGACAAGGGTTCTCGCGCCAGGCCGTCGGAGTTCCCTGCGAGCGTATGACTACTGCAGTGGCCAGTTCCTCGTCGGGGTGGGGGTCCCCTTGAAGAGGGGGCGGGTTCCGGGGAGATTGCCGGCAGCTGCTGTGGCACGTCTTGTTGCTCGTGTGATGGCGGCGTAGGTGGCGATGACAGGATGTGTCTGAAGGTGGCGAGCATGGCCGCCCGGGGATCCACATCAGCGGCAGCCTTTAGCGCCTGAATCTGTACGTGCACGTGCGGTAGGGTGGGAGGGGCAGGCTTGAAGCGGGGAAGGGACGCGAGAGGGTAGAAAAAGGGCTGCTGCTGCTGCTACCACGGCTGCTGGCGTTGCCGCATATACATGTTGAAGACATGAACCAGCTGCGCATATTGATTTACATACATGCAAATATAGACACACACATTAACACAAACCACATATGTACGCCACACGTACAGAAGCAGCTACGCATAGGGGGTCGATCTCCCACCTGGTCACGCAGGCCCCTGTTGCCGACGGCCTGGCTGTCCAGCGCAGCCAGTGTCTTCACGGCGCCCCGCATGACACCCCATTCAAACCCCGCAGCCGCGCCCTCCCTAAACCCTGTGAGACAAAGCAGCAACACCAATACCAGCGACAATTTTCATATAGGTTTGCATGCCTATTTCTCTTTAATTTGACGAAACGGATAGTGACTTGGCATAAATAGCAGTGGGTAAGATAGAAGCACGAGGTTTATCGCACGCCGTCCAGAGTAAAGGATTAACCTTGGATGGAAATAACCTGTGATGCCGAGAGGGTAAACTATCAAAGAGAAAGGAACCGACTTCGCAATAGGATGTATCTAGGTCACAGCCTGGCGTGCGCTGTCCCGTGCACTGGGGGAGCTTGCAGGAAGGGGGTGGGGGTGGAACGCGTGACGGCAATTAGCGCACCTAAGTTGAACCCTTCTTGAAGTGTTCGTTCTTTCCCCTCCTCTATGCCCTCTCGGTATCCAGCCTACAGATGCAAGTTGCATTGCTGCTCAACTTGCGAAAGTCATGATAGGCTTTGTCATGTTAACACTTATGATGTTTACATTGTAAAATCGCTGGTGCCGTGCGGTCGCCTCGCGATCGAGTTCGCCTTGGCCATCCTCGCTGCTGTCTGCCCAAATATCACCTTCATCTCCATCTTCGGAAGTCCCTCTCCTTTGACTTGTGCACATTTTAAAATCGCTGTGGTAACCACCCGGTTTCAGCAGTTAACGGTAGATTGGAATCAGGCAAGCCAAGGGAATGCAAGCGTGCAGTAACAATGGTTAACAGGATCCTGCACATAAAACTCACAAAGATAATATACAAGAAAAGTAAGCTCCGGGCTATCTCGGCCTTCGTACGGTAAACGGAGCCAGGCGGACTTGCGCAACAAAGACAGCAATGCCCCCACAGGACGAAAACGATAGTCTCTTTACTTCACCGAGTGACAGGAATCCTAAGACAACCAACTTGCTAAGGAAAAAACTCGCCATGCACTCCTTTCGCTCCATTCCATGCACTCACCAGCCCCTCTTCTTAACCTCACCGTCCCCGAGCAACACGAATAGACTCGCGCGCAACGCAGCGAAATCGCCTTAACACCTTATATCATATACCACAACCCCCATACGAGTTTCCCTACGCGAGCTCCCGCATTCCAAGGCCCGGCCAATGCCCCAGCTGCCCCAGCAACCCCCTTCAGCCCTCACATCACATCATGCGCAAGACGGATCTCCTCGTCGGTAAGAGCGCGATTATATGCAGCTAAGCAGTATAACTTGCCGTGGAGCATTGCACTATCGTAACCGTAACCAAGGAAATCACAGATGCGCTCTTTCGGCGCTCCAAAAAGGCGTTTCCTCGTTCAACTTCATCCCCCTCCTGCCCTGCCTCAATGCCTCATCCGGCTGGCTGATTGACACTCCGCCCCAAACCCGAAACCAGGTCCGCCCCGTATGGATTTGCCAAGCACAAAGCGCACGTCTAGACTACGGTATAAAACATTAAATACTCGACCGCATACAGATAAGCAAGCGAAAAAAATAGTATACCACAGGAAACATCCTCCTCCTCATCACCTTCATCGTTCGGTCGCTGATGGAATCGAAACGGCAATGGCGATGGCTCGGTACTTCCGCTTCGTAACTAGCACGACAACCAATTCTTCTCCCTATCATCCTGCTCCACCTCCTTCTTCTTCTTCTTCTTCTTCTTATGCTCTGTGTTGACTCCCGTACATCGTACATCGTATATCGTACATCGTATATCGTACATCATACAGACGTATATAGCTATTTATGCAATATGTGTATTATATCTTCATCTAAACATGTACAAGCCGTACATTAAATGTGCAATTACGGCACAATACGGCACGATACGGCTCACCGCACTTCTGTGGCACTCTGGGCAATTTCACCTTGCTCGTGAGCCGCATAATAAATCACACACTAAGGAATGGTTGTTGCTGCTGGCGACGTTCGCGGTGTTGCAGAAGAGGACGGGGACTATACACCCGCTCGCTCCCCCCCCCCCCACACACACACACACGCATGGCAGCGGACGTGTTGACGGCGGTCGCGGCGGTCGCAGTGAAGGTGGCTGCGCTAAGGGAACGAGGGAAGAGGGGGCGGCCGGCGGGACCCCCCATACGGCTACCCGACTCAATAGACGTATGGTGCGACGACGTCCGCGACGCCTGATACCTCCGTATGTATGTATGTATGTCTATGAGGATCGCGTTGAATCAGAATGCACAACAACGGGCCCGGGGTCGAGGGGCCGTTCGGCTCGCCATACACCTAGCTAGCCCTAGCAGCTGACTCGAGGCTCACACGCCGCCGCGACAGGCCACGTGTCGTGACGCCGCCGCCGCCGCTGGCCGCCACCACCGCCGCGGTCGACGAACCTCCCGCCGCATCCGATGCAATCTTGCCGTACAATGCAGTGGTGGCGATGCCGCCGGTGGTGTCATCAACGGCAGCCTGATCGGCGGCGCCGCCGATGTCGGCCCTGATGGTGTCGACGTCGCAGCATCCAGGCGCCGGCGTGGCCGGCGGCAGCTGGTGGTGGTGGTGGTGGTGGTGATGGTGGTGATGGTGTCCAGCGATAACGTCATCGCCGTACAACTGCCGCCGTTGCTGACTGGTCTCTCCACATGGCACTAGTTGATCGCCATGCGGCTGGTGGTTGCCGTGGTGGTTAGGTTCGTTACCCAGTTGGTTGCGGTGGCGGTTAGGCTCAGAGTGGCTCTGCTGCTGCTGCTGCTGCTGTTGTTGCCGTTGGTGAACATCAGCCCTGGGTAAAAATTCTCGTTGGGGCTTGCATGCCGGAAGACTGGTCTCGGAGCTAGGGGTGGCAGTTTCCGTTTCACCTGCTACTGCTCGTCCGGCCTTGGCGGTGGCTGTAGCAGTAATGATCTCGGAGTCCAAGGAGGACCTAACGGCGGCTGTAGCTGGGTCGCCCGACATCATTCCGACACAGGTTCCAGTGGCGGTGCTTGCGGCCTGATCCAAATCCAGATCCAGATTCAGATTCAGATCCGGTATGGATCGCGCCACAGCCGAGATGATTTCTGCCACAGCTAGGCTCTGGCGCTTGGAGACGCAGAAGGCGTGTCGCAGGTCTGGATGCCAGGTAGCCTGTGTGCGTGTGCGTGTGTATGTATGTGTGTATGTATACACCTAGGGTTTTGGGTGAGAGGAGTTGTGGGGCTTTGGGGTGGCACGGGGTTGCACGTGGGACGGCACTGTGTTGTGTTGTGTTGTGTTGGGCGGCGACACATCTGCACCGGGTTTTGGCTTTCCTCCTCCTCCCCGTCTAGTCCCCCCCGGCCCATAGTGCGGGTGACCCCCCCGCCCCCACCGACCTGCACCCCCGGCACCCGGGCCAGCAGGTCCTCGTACTGCCCCCGGGAGAGCCAGGTGTCCGCCGTACAGCCCATCACGTGCACACGGGGACCTAGGGCGGAGAGGAGGGACCAGTCCCAGGGCCGGGAGAGCTCCTGGGGGGGTGCGGGCCGGGAGGAGGGGGAGGAGGGGGAGGAGGGGGACGACGAACCACGAGCGAAGCTGATGAGTGCGAGTGAAGCGGAAAGAGTGATGCACCAGAACTAAAGAAGGCATAACTAACCAGTCGGCGGTTGCGAAGAAGAAGTCATCGCGATGGTGTAGCAGTCATGACGATTAGCGGATAACTACCTACCTAGCCGCCAAGACTAAATTGGGGGAGGGAGGGCGTGAGGGGGAAAGACGAACCACAAACGAGTGAAGCTGCTGCCAAGGAAAGAGTGTATAAGAAGCAGAACTGACCAGTAGACGGTTTTGAAGGAGGGAGAGGGGAGGAGGGGGTATCGCGCGGCGAAGCATGGCTGCTAGCGAGGGGGGTTAAGAGACCTCCGGGGTCCGGAGGGGCACTACTCCGGAGGAGGGGCACTAGCAAGGCCCCGGGCGAGCTCACCGACTCTATCGCTTCATACCCCGACCGGACACATAAGGCCCCTCCTCCTAGTTGGAATCTGCACGGTGTCGTACCAGCAGCACCCGTTGGTTCAGTCATGCGCAATTCTTCCACACCCCCTACACAGCACACCCACCTTGAACTCATGCATGGCAAGGAAGAAGGCATTCCGTACGGTGTGTCGCGACAGCAGCCGACACGTCAGTTCCACGGGGTCAGGGTCCATGGCTGTGAGAGGGCATGTGCCGTACAATGACGGGCAGCCGGAGCAGTGGCAGCAGCAGCCCAACAGGGGGGTGATGTGATGTGAGGTGATAAAAAGACGCAGACGCACTGCGACGTGGGGTTGGGTAGCAGGCGGTGGGGCTATGTGTGTGTGTGTATTGGGACAGTGCACAAAGCACGGAAATTCAAGGCTAAAATGGACCTGCAGGCGACGAGGCAAGGCCGGTTTCACCCCCCCCAACCGCACCCCCCACCGCTTCCCCCCCCGGCCCCCGGTGGCCTCCTGGCGCCTGACCCCGCCCACCTGCATTGAGCCGCACAAACGCCGTCCTCAGCGGCCCGGGCAGTGAGGTGACCGCCGCTCCCAGCCAGCCCAGGTAGTCGTACCAGGGCGCCAAGGACCGGAGCCGCCGCTGCCGCCAGTTGCCCGGGAAGTTGGTTTCGAAGAAGGGGAACACCGCCACCAACTGACATACATACCGATGTATGTGCGTGTGTAGTGCAAGAGGGGGGTGGGAAATGGAGGGTGAGAGGGGGGGATGGGAAGGGAACGACGACGGTGTGTAACCCCACCCCACCCCACTTCTACACAAACACGTGCACAAGGGGTTCTTAGAGGTTTGAGGGCTGTAGTAGCCCAGCGAAGTGGCAGCTGGCAAGGAAGACCCGCAGCAGCTAAATAACTAACTAACTGACTGACTAGGGGGCCTACATCCACAACACGGAACAGCAAAGACAGTCAAAACAGCACCTTTGTGGGGCATACATACATACATACATACATACATACATACATATGTACCTTGAGTATGGGCGGCCGCTGCTGCTGTTGCTTCACCGAAAGGTGTTGGTGCTGCGGGTCGTGTGGTGGGGGGTCCAAGCCCTCGATCTGGGACACCGCCTGACAGGAATAGTGCGTGAGTACGAGGGCACGTGAGTACGAGGGCATGTCAACCTGTGAGCCAAATGACCCTCCTCCCTCCCCCTCCCCTCATTCCCTCCCCCGCCCCCCTTTCCCCCCCCTCCCCCTCCCCTCACTCCCTCCCCCGCCCCCCTTTCCCCCCCCTCCCCCTCCCTCCCCCTCCCCCCCCTCCCCCCCTCCCCCGCCCCCCTCCCCCTCCCTCCCCCTTCCTACCCCTCTTTCCCCCCTTTCCCCCCCCTCCCTACCCCCCTTTCCCCCCTCTCCCTACCCCCCTTTCCCCCCCCTCCCTACCCCCCTTTCCTCCCTACCCCCCTTCCTACCCCTCTTTCCCCCCTTTCCCCCCCTCACCCGAAACATCATGGTCGCCCCGATGGAGTGGCCCACCAGCAGTACGGGGGCCCTTCCCGGCACCAACACATGCTCACGGAGGTACGACACCTTGTGCGCGACCTGCTCAGACAAATCCCACAACTGCGTGGGAGAAGAGCCGGATGCGCAGTGCGGGGCGATGGGGGGTGAGAAAGGACCAAAGGGGTTGTAGGAGCGGGCGTGTGTGTATGGGGGAGATGGGCGGAGACGGTGAAAAGGACCCGGGGGGAGAGTGGAATGAAAAATGGACACGGACTGCGGCAGTAGCAGCAGCAGTAGTGTAAGTCTCGTATTATACGACATTATTGTGAGCAGGAAAGAACGTTCGCTCCCACACACATGACACGGGGCCGAACCCATGGCGTAACTGACCCACGGGTCCGTCCGTTTTCCCCAGGCTCACCCGCCCACCGTGGTCCGTATCTGGGTCATGGCCGGCGTGGGTGACTGCCAGCACATCTGCACGGCCACGTAGCAGTCGGTGTACCGCCAGCATGAAGGGCTTGAAGTAGGCTGCGCTGCCGGGGTTGCCGGGGAAGACTACGACCTGGAGGCGGGGTGGAACTGTGCGGGAGGGAAGGCGGGTCTTGGAGGAGGTCATTAGACACGTGTTTGGTGCGCAGCGGGTGTTTGAAAACTGCGGTACACGTAAGATCGGTACTGGCGTTCTTGAAAAGGATAGGTGGTTTAAGAGGAAATTTCGCATGTGAGGAATATTCATACGCAGTTTGCAATAACGTGTTGTTTGCGCAGCTGTGATGGGTAGGGGAAACAGCTGTTCCTGTGCTGATAGTTCCTAGAGGGTTCCATAAGCTACACGTCAGGACAAGCCCCCGTTTTCCACAGATGGGCCCAGCTCATGTTTTTTGTCTCACTAAGCGAATAAATTTTTGGCGCAAGAACAATGCAAGACTGGAGGAGCGCACGAGCAGAGCCTAACCTGATGTTGCATTGATGCCCAGCAGCTCCGTCGTGATACCGCCCACCGGGCAAAAGCGTTGCCACATTGCCGAAGTGAAACTGCCAGTCATTTAACAAATCCTAAATTTTGCTCTTGGTTATGAGCCTGTCAAAAGCCTAGCCACAACGTGCGGATAAGCTTACGTCTATTAAAGTCATTACAATATCCAAATCGACATGTATACTTACAAAGTAAGTTGTCTTGCCAACTGCAAAATGTACATCGAGGCAAGATAGTCCAGCTATACGGTTACTTCCTAACCGTAATCCTATTTTCCTGTTGCGGAAGCCTTCACGGGGGATTTATCTAAACTCAGCATCATAGTCGTTGCTATTTTCGCCCCGGAAATAGAAATGGAGTGAACAACTGTTGGAGCGCTTGTTGGCTGCGAGATAATAAAACTTGGTTTGTGGAGTCTGTTAACTACCTTCACATCCATCGCCATGCAGTCGAATGTGTCCAGGCTCACCAGCGCATTGCGTGCGCTCACCACCGGAGCTAGCGCACAGCAGCTTTCCGCTACGCACGCAACTAATTGCCTTAGTCTAAACGGAAATTCATGTGTTGTATCTCATGAGGCTTGGTCCTCCGCTTGCGGACCATTTCGCTCTGCCGGGCCATCATCGGTCCGACTCATGTCCACTTCCAATCCCAACAAGCCCGACGATCACGCTTCACAGCCATCCAGCTCTGACTCCGGACCCGATCCTGCCCGTCCAACCTTCACTGCGCGGCTTCGGGACCTCCTTGCCGGTAAGCTTCGTCTGCCACACCACACGACCCCATTTGCGCCTTTCCTCCCCCCCTGCTCATACCGCTTAGCCGCTGGCAAAGTCCTCCCCCCTTCCCGGTTCGCCACGGTAATTACCTTGCCATGATACTCGCCACCAGCACAAAAACCCTAAACCCCTCCACCGAGTCCGCCCCAGAGCCGCAATCCCTGTGCCTCTCATCGCAGCCCCCTTCATCATGCTTTACCTGGCTATCCAGCTCCTGACCCGCACAGCTTCCGTTTCTTTCCCCTCCGCTTCTCCGATCTTTCCCATCTCCACGCTCATCACAATCATCGCCTTTCCCTTGCCTCCACGTCACCAACGCCAACGCCGCAGTATCCAACTGGCGGATCTCAAAGGGCGAAAGGGGCCGCCTGGCCAACGTGAAGGAGGACCTGGCAGCAGCCTCAACGGCAGGGGGTTTGCCGCACCTGCCGCCGGGGCAGGCTGCAGCGGACGCGGCAGCGGAGGCAGCGGCGGCCGCGCTGCAGGCCTCCACAAGCACCACCACAAGCACCGACACCAGCGGAGGCGGCGACGGCGTTGCGCCGCTTCAACAGCAGCTTCCGCAGGCACATCAGGACGAGCCGCAGCTTGAGCTGCCGCCGCACCAGCGATTGCTGCATCCCAAGTACGGCTACGCGGTACTCGGCGGTGCCGTACCCGCCGACGAAGGCGCAACCACCGCGGCAGGCCTGGTTGGAATGCTGACGTCACAGCAGCCGCGAGTAAACCCTAGACGGCGCTTCCTTCCCGGGGAGACGTACGAAGCACAGGTACGTCCTTGGTGGGGAAAGTACGGTGTTGTACGGTGCCGTACCTGGGCAGTTCCAACGTGGTGTGACATGATCTGCGCCTTGATGTAACGGATCGGAGGCCGACCCGAGAGTCCTGCTAGCGGTGAGATGTCAGCTGTCGGATCCACACATCCCACGATTTCAAATTGTTCGTTCGTACGGTGGTTGTGTTCCAAGAGCATGTCATGGCACAGAGAGGTAAAGCGCCGGTCGTTTTTAAGCTTAGGAAAATCCTGGATTGCCCATGGGCTTTTGCTCAGCGGCGGACATGTCATTATTCTTTATATTGCTTGTTCAGGACGGGGTCGGTCAATCCTGTCCTCAGCACGCATCCCCTTCCCCAGCCGTTGAGCACCCAACCACACGCCCAACCGCCTGGCTCTGGGCCCCACCAGGATCTCAATCCGTACACGGCCCGGACGTGGGGCCGGGTTCGTACGGATGCGGGTGCCGTACGCCGTCCCACCGTTGCGGAGGTCATGGAGGTGGGTGGAGGGGTTTGGAGGGGAAACCGCCGGGTGCTTAGGGTTGGGGGTTGTATGTATGTATGTATGGTTTGGCGGCGTGCTTACTATCCGGCGGTGTCAGTTGGGGCACAGACAGGTAGGCACACAGACAGACAGACAGACAGACAGACAGACAGGGAGTGGCATGGGGGGCCCAGGTAGAGGGATGAAGGGCGGTTTGCGACACACATGCACTCGAAGCGCAATGGGCCTGGACACGTACCCGTCTGTGCAGGAGGGCGGGAGGGCAGCAGTAGCAGAAGGGGCGGGGGCAGGGGCATTAGTAGTAGTGGCCAACAGCCCCCCCAGTACCCATCAGCCCACCCGAGCCCAACTCGCCCGCATCTGTGTGTGTATGTATTGTATCCAGTAGCCTTTCTGTCACCCGTACGGTGCCGTGAATTAATGCCTCTGTGATGTGTACGACGTCGTCCCCTGCGGCAACTCATCTTGTGCTCCTCCCGCGCCACCGTATTGGTGGCTCTTCTATACACACAGACAGACACACACACAGACACACACACACACAGACAGACAGACAGACACCTCTACCCCCCCTGCACCTCATTCCCCACAGAAAGCGGACTATAAGAATGTGGCCTTCCTGACCCGGTGGTTCTTGTCCCCCGGGGGCAGGCTGCTATCGCGGAGACACACGCGGCTACCGGTCGCGGTGCACAAGTAGGAAGGAACCTGGGGGGGGGAGTGGGGGTGACGCGGCGGTGAGGTGCGGAGGCCGCCCGAGGCGACTTTGAGGAAGGCCCGAGCAGGACGCGAGTGCATGCATCTGTCTGTCGGTCTGTCTGTCCGTACATCCTAGGGAGAGAGCTCCCCCGGTGTGAGAGAGGGTGTGCGCCTCATAAACTACCACACAAAACCCGGAGAGACAATACGGCCCCGACCCTCCCCTCGTGTTTATTCCTCATGCTGCCGTACGGCGCAGGTACGTCTCCCGCCAGGTGAAGCTGGCCCGCCACATGGGGCTTATGGCGGGTGAGGCGCGACTGGACAAGCTGCACCTGGCGAGGGTGAGGGAGCAGGAGCTCGTAGAGGCGCAGCGGAGGGCGGCAGTTGCGGCTGCTGCTGCTGCTGCTTCCAGCGCCGCCGTGAATGCCACCACCGCAGGAGCAGAGGGAGGGTCACGGACTGGGTTGGGTGTGGGGGGGGTGGCCGGGAGGGGTGCCGGGCGTGGTGCTGTGGCTGTAGCGGTGGGAGGCCGTGCGGTGGCGGGTTACAAGGAACTGGCTGAGCTTGGCGCGTGAAGTCGGAAAGCACCGAAGGAAATGGGAGGAGGAGGGGGGGGGAAGGGAGGAGGGGGCGCTGGCATGTGTTATCTTTCCCTGGGCTTTGTCATTTTCTCCCGGGATGTCCTGTCTCCCTGTGCTTGCGTGAGGGTACTCCCCGTGCTCCTGTGGACTCAAAAGAGCTGCGCGTGTGCCTGTGCCTGTGTTTGTGTTTGTGTCCCGGATGGGGTGTCGGATTACACTGGTGGCTGCGAGTCCAGGGAAAGAAAGCCTTGCAGGTGTCGCGTCCTCCCTCCCTCCCTCTCTAAACCCCCCCTCCCGGGAGGTCGATTGGTCTGCCGCTAACGTTGTGGCATCAGGCATACGTACATGGCAAACACATATGGTTGCAGCTGCTCTCTCTTTCTTTCTTTCTCTCATCACCCCGACCGAACACCGCCCTGCTGCAGTAGCAGTAGCGCCGGCTTCAGACGAGACGTAAAGTCTGAGGGTATTGTACGGCACCGTCTGTCCCGTCTCCAAGTGCACAGACATACGAACTGACGAGAAAAAACTAAAACCCTTCCCGCCTGAGAGCTGCTGCTTCTCCCAGCTTCAAAAGCTCAGCTGCTGAAATGCTTGCTGCAAATCATGGACGCCATCACCGAGTGGATAAAAAACCCGGAGGGTTTTATTGAAACCTCCGGGAGGGGGAGGGGAGGGGGATGTCAACACCCTCGGCCTCGTCCGTGCATGAATTCATGGATGGATGGACACATCCAGAGTGTATGAAGATGAGCGAGAGACACGTCGCCGGCGTCGAGGACGCACTCGCAGCTGCGTCCATTTTGCAGCTCCCCCTCCCGTTCTCCCCCCCCCGAGGCTTCTGGGCCGATTGCGCACACGTTTATTATCTGAATTGAACGCCATAGAACACCACTCCACCATTATTACCTGTTGTATACTATACTCCACCATACGAACTGCAAGCGCAAGGCGCTGTTGTGTCGGGAGATGGTCGTACGAACCTTTGGAGTGTCGTACGGCAGCATGGTACACCATGCCATTGTACAGCATGGCACGGGCCTCCCCGGTACGACATAACCCCCCAAAAACCCGAATTGGAAATCCACACTGTGGACCACCCGAGGTCGGGGACCTGATCGCATCGTGCATTATCATCATTATCATCATTATCATCATCGTCACTGCCACCTCGTGCAAAAAGGATGGAACAGCAAACTGGCATTTTGCATTGGCAGAGAAACGCGAGAGGAGCGCACGCTGCAACTCAAAGCACGGATCACGCCTGGTTATGTGGTTTGGCCGCATTACGGGCAAACACACGGGAGAGCGATATTGCACCATTCCGTGTGACACCACCGCAGTGCGTCCTATTTGTGAGAATGGACTTCTTCACTAGCGCCGCCAGGAGGTTCCGCAATACAATTCAGTTCATCCCCGGTGGGCTCAGTCCGTTTTCAAAAACATACTAGAACGAAATCAAACCTAAAAAGCGACATGCAATGCCTCGAGGACGTGCACAGAAGTTTGAAAGTGTAAAGGGCCTCCAGACCAGATAGATAGATATGGCGAAAAGGACAATAGTTGGCCAACAACCTAGATTTCTGGCACGCTCGCTCATGTCGGTGTGACAAAAACAATCTAACAGTCGGGCAAAACGCCATACAACACCATGCCATGCCCTAGGTCATACTCCTACTTTTAGAAGACTGGACTTTCCGTTCTCCCAGCAGCAGCAACAGTAGCAGGAGCAGGAGCAGCAGCAGCAGAGGCTGGACTGTGGACGTCGTCTTCAAACAGACTTTTGCAGCGCTTCCCGAACCGCACACACGAGCCAAATGGAGCCGAGACCACAACCCGAAAATCATACAACAACAACAACAACAACAACAACAGCAGTAGAACCTTAAATAAACGCATGCTTTTTACCCATGCATAATAACATATGCCCTACACGACATGCCTTGTACGAAAGACGAAAGGGCAAATCCCAGCATGGGGGAGATACTCCCTCACCTCCTGCAACCGACAACCTTCTGCCTTTCCTTTCACCAGCTGGCACGCTCCGACTCCGACTCCGACTCCGAAAGGCACCGGCGGCCCCCCCAGCGGCTGGTGGCTGCTAGGACGCACTTCCCAAAGGCGAGCAGACACATAGACAGATTCTCACGGCAGCTGGCCGTCCACCACGAAATGTTGTGCCGTACCTCCAGGGAGGGCAATCGAATACAACTCAAACTGGAGATCCAAATCCTTGAAATCTCGATATGAGAAAGTGTATGACCGGTAGGGCATAGACCCGTCGCTGGAGGTAAACCCGTCGCCCGTCGTACCGAGGGTGCGTCACACACCCCTCATCGAGCACACCATTTCACCTCAAGAAAAATAAAAAGACATCCGATATGAGCAGCAGCAGTACCATATCCATATGACCCTAAACCACTCTTACATTCCCCAAGTCGTCAAACCAACTTACAGTTCTTAAACCATGAGAGCACCTGAGGGTACCGTCAGTCTGTCAGTCTGTCAGTCTGTCAGTCTGTCAGTCTGTCACACACCCCATCATTTGCCATGGTAAATTTAAAACGGCAACAGTCACACCGCCCAACCGCCTCTTTAACCCACCCCCGGGTTCCCCTGTCGCGGCGCCTTTATGCTTAATGGTCAATTATACCGATTTGTACGGAACACTATTCCCCTACTGTCGTACAATCCCTTGCGTACCTAGTGTCGCCCTGCTCTTCATGCATGTATACATGATTGACATGCCACTGACATGACAACACACGGCCTAGACGGGGCATCAATCAATGACTAAGCAATGTTGTGTAAGTATGTATGTACGTATGTGTGCGATGTGTGTAAGCTCACGTCAGCTCGGAATGCCGGCCGGAATACGCGTCCGCATTCGCATTGGCAGGGATATACATACATGCATACATACATACATCTCTCCTATCCGGGGTTGGCGGGGTCCCCGGATTTGATATCCAGATCTCGCCCCCCTCCCGCCACTACGACTCTCTCACATCCTCACCCCCACACCCACAGCCCGGGTACACCCCCCGGGGGCGGTAGGTGGGGAGAAGGGCTCCAGGTATGGCCAACCGAAATTCCGGTGGCCACAGAAAACCTCGTTCTCCCGTACTACCCTCGTGCAGCCACATATAGACTCATACACATCGACCACCTGCAAATTAAGAAAAATCAGTACGAAGCGTACGACAGCTCAACCCGCAAGCCATCATGCCAATCATGACAGCCAAAGCTGTATCAGATCAATAACGCTTGATCACATCATCATCATCATCATCACCAGCAGCAGCAGCAGCAGCAGCAGCAACAACAAAGGCCTCAGCCATTGCCGGCGGCCGCACCGTTCTTACGGGGTGCCACCCCCACCTCCACCCCCACCTCCACCTCCACCCCCCCCATACACACACACCATATATCCACCCCCACCCCCACCCCCACCTCCGACAACCGCCCCCGACACCGCCTCCAAATGCTCCGTCAGGTTCCTATCGCCCTCCAGGGTCAGCGTCAGCAGCGGCATTCCGCCACCACGTGGATCCAAACTCGTGCAAGCTCCGGAACCACCGCCCGTACAGGCCATGAAAGCCGCACTGCCTAGAGTCGAACGTTCCCGGGGGGCCAGGAGGCGAAATAGACTGTGGTGGTTGGCGGCGGCGGCAGCGGCGGCGGCGGCGGCGGCGGCGCC